TAAGTTAAGCTATCTCAGTTATGATATCGACATTGTGTCTCAGGCAAACATTTAGGCATATTCTGCTAACCGTATAGTTTATAGCAGACTAAACCAAATAAAGCCTATTACATTATCAAACAGTGAATATATAATGTTTAGGTATTTATATTTATGAAATGCATTTTATCTGATATCACTTGATTTATCACGCACAGAACTATATGAGTTATCTAATAATTAAAACTATCATATGTCTGTCATGAGTGCAATTTCAAGCAAAACATGACATCATTTGGAAAATATTTCCTAAATTAATTAATAGGTTATTTCTATGATAAACTCAAGTTAAGTAGTCGTGCTGTTTGCAATCAATTTCTTATGTGTAACGATTAGCTCAGTGATATCATCATTACGGATATTTTAACAGCACCTCCAGGTTTTGCGTATGAGTAACTTACACGGTTAGTTTGACAGTTTTCTTTTTTCGCATCGTTATTTTAACATTTCTAGTTAAATACTTACCTTCCGCAATTAGAATGAAGTTGTTTATTGAACCTTGACTGCACTTCTGCCTTCTTCGTATGTTAACTGCTGTGAATCTTTGGCTATGTGCGTGTATGTTAGTTGACATAATGTCGACTTCTGAAAAATGTTGTGCTTAACTGCAGCAGGCAAGCTGTATGGTAGGATAGGGCATTTGGAGTTACTCTAAGATGGAAATAACTGTGCGTAGCAATTTGTTTCGGAAATACTCATCCACATTGTCATTGGTAGAACAGTCACCATCAACGTATGCAAATCAATTTAGACAATGAATCAATCAACTTGTGTTTGGGAAATATGAGATGCATGCGAAAAACAAATATCGTGTTTTCATGAGTGCATTCTACCGAACAACTTCGAAGTCACGCTTGAACCTCTGATCAGAACTCTTAGTTTTCAACGATATTGCAGCTATCTCTATGATCTGTCATTTGATGAATTTCTACTTTTACGAAGAAAACACAATTGCTGAAGTATAAACATTTATTATTGTACTTAATTCTGGCAATATATGTGGAATTGTAGACCTCTTGTTTATCTGTACTAAAGACTACCTCTCACGCGCCAAGCTTGTTATTTAATTTTATCCTCTTTGCACGTTTCCTGCGTGGACGTTAGCCGTTTTTACGCTCTCTCGCCTCGATATTTTTTCGATATCACGAGGCCAATACCAAAAAGACCTCTTCCTCTAGAATCTCCTTCCTATATGATTCTCAGAGTTCGGTGGATTAACATTTGTTATCCCGCACATACGTATATCATAAATCTATCCTACAGATGTCTAACGATTCCAGTATCTAGTCAGAATAGCTCTGGATTATATACACCTAATTTCTGAAACCTTGGTCAGCACTAATTCTTCGGACATTTTATAAGGGATCAAAATCCCTCTATTCTTTTCGTTTGTACACATATAAACGTTGAGAAAGAACTCGAACGATTCTCTGTTCTGAGGAAGAAGCGATTTCAAATTGTTATGAATATTAGTCTATTATGTGAACAGGTACATATAATAGCGTGAAAATCGATCATTTAAACTATCCGCTCTCTGGTCATTATGTTCATTTGCTTAGAAGTAAACCAGAAACAAAGACCATGATTGAGAGACTTTCACATAGAATAACTTTTACTGGTATTATGCTAACAGATTAGATTTCATGTTTCAAATTATATATCCTTATAAACAGTTGTTATCATTATTTTTAGTACTTAATGTTTTCCAAAAATATATCGTGGTAGATAATTTAATGGCATTTAAACTGTTGGATTTTTTGTTTGGATTTAGGTGTGATCTACGACAATGATACCTTGATGAATGTGAAACACAAGTTACTGACCAGCAAACATTGATGGTGTGGGCGATAACTTCAAACCACCCATGTTTGTTGGGCAGAACATTTTGTTTGCTTTCGGCTCATTAGATTGATGAGACGACTAATCAGTAACACTGAGGTTGCTCTTATACGCTTGCTACTTCTGTGGTTCATGTTTCCAAAACTATGCTGAGGTCGCTATTCTGTCGAGACACCTGCAACATTCTTACTCAGGCGCTTATAGTATGATTTAGAGGTCGGCATTCAATAATAAAAAAACACAGTTAAACAGTGCGAAATTTTATTCATCAATGTTCTCTTTTTACAAACTCTACTCTATCAACTGAACTTTTGATTTCAACGTACATAAATCCAGCTTCTTTCTTCGAGTTCTCTTCTATCCACCTGACACTGCACAACTCTTCCTTCTTTTTTGCTGTACTCCTTTATCTGTGTGTTATATTCTTATATTCGCATAATATAATTTCATTTAAGTGGTCAGTATGAATTTTATCTTGACTTACTACTGTATTGACTACTTAAACATGACAGCTTAAGTAATGCTTTGATTATATATATATATACTTGCCACACTGCTGCCTTTTTCTCTCTCTCTCTCTTCTCCTTATCAGAACCCCATTCACAGTGGGAAATCCTTGGCGACTCTAGGGAACATGCACTCTATGTACATGACTGTCTGGATCACAGCTCGTATCAAGCGCGTTCCATATTACCTTTCCCAACAAATTCACTATTGATCTCGACAAATCACCAAACGTACCTATTGTGCACCTTAATTATTTGTACTCTACTATTGAAAATGTGGCTGTATTATACTGTTTCTGTCAGTGACATGGTGTAAATATGCAATCAGAAACTGACTCTCACACTTAATTTAACTGCTATAACTTTACAGTAATTGTGAAAGCATTTGTGACAATTTGATCTAGCCTGTAAAATGGCGTAACTCTTGTTACGTAGTTATTTGAGAATAAATATATTATTATTAAGTAAATAAGTGTCAGATGTCACCACATGTAAAAATCATAAATTCGCAGTGCATATAAATAGACAATACGATGAAGCCATTTAGTCTCTGAATATATGAGCAACATAAATAACATGATCGTGCTGGGTATTGGCAACAATGGAAACCTCTTCCATGTTAGCTTGAATTAAATCGATCAAAATGAGTTTTATTCGTTATCACAATTGACGAATAATAAATTGTTTAATTCAAGATCTCTGAAGCACAATGTCGAAGTTTATCGTTTACTGAAACCACTTATGTCTGAGAATGCTTAATCAGAAGCTATCACATTTACACACCAGCCTGATTCTTAGTTGCAAAAGGTAAACTTGAAAGAAAGAAGTCGATTAGGAATACTTTAAGCATTAACAGTGATTTATGTTAGCCATAACAGACAAGTTTTCCGTGTTAACCTACTACTTATCGTGACATTTTGTCATCAACACTCAAAGCACACTGATGACTCAATCAGTGTGATCATTGTTTCATCACATACCTCATTTAGAACCTTATGTACTTCTTGTCAAACATCCTAAGAAATTATTCATGTGTGAAGAAAGGCTACATTTTGTGGTGCTGAATTCTCACGGCTGCACTACACCCAACATACACAAATATCATATGTTTGAGTAAAGTCTCTCGATATACTTTGTGGGCCAGTATAAAAAACCCATTTTAAGTCGATTTTAATTTTTATATCATTTATCAAGGGTTCTATTTCATATGTTGAAAACTCATAGAATCTCACTGTTCTCAGTTATCAAGATAAATAATCAACTCTATACAGCCTCTATCAATAATATTCTCATGGAATAAACTACACGAGAAAAAATTCTCAAACATGTACTCATCATCAATTCTTCGTTGAATCATCTCTTATATTTAAGCAAAACAGTGATGTTCATTTCAAGACTAAAGTGACTTACAATTTACTAATAACTGTAGATGTTGTTAGCTCAGACATTCATGCTCTTATCTACACTGAATTCAAAACATAGTGCGTGAGGAAAGCAAGGGTTCCCAAATGTAAATAAATATCACTACTCTGTTTTTTTACTTATATAACCTACTCTGTAAAAGAGTTTATGTACTAACAAATATGCACATTGATGTCACCCAATAATAGAGCTTGCCTTTAATATGAAAAACCGAAAAATGTTCACTTTACATGGTCTTATTTTACACTATAGCATCATGTCAGATAATTACCATCTCATTACTTTTTCATTCAGTTTGATTGTTGTCCTGATACATTAACAAGTCTCAGAAAAATTTAACAGGTTCTTGCTACCAGATATCATTAATAATTCAGATGTGGTGACCATTGAATTCAGAAAGAAGATGTATCTTGAACTTTTGCAGGTCGGCTTCCATAATCGCTGAGTTGAACAATTAACCAAATATGCTAACTTTTACACTGCTTCTTAAAGTCAACCATATACTCTCGCCACTCAGTTAAAAGTACTTCGCAATCCTGTCTGCATAACTGAAATCTAAAAAATCGTTCTCCAGGTAACAACTAACTCCACGTCATTAAAGAGCTGAAGAGGAAACACAAAATTCGAAATTTTCTCCAGCCTCAGTAAAATATCTCAACAATTAAATGGTTACATGACCTTACTTTGCCTGAGCTTTGGGTACAGTGCATTCTCAGGCACATCATTGTTAGAGTACAATCAAAGGTGATCTTCAAAACTTACAATCTGACAGTTTCTCCGGAATTAGTCTTTCATCCAGTTCGGATAGTCTGAGAAATACGATGGAAACTAACAAATTGGATGTAATCCTAATTAGATTTATCACAATATGGTAGTCGCATAAATGTCATAAACTGTTTCTGTAGATGACGATGTTGGCATACACTTCTTCAATTCCATTAAAATTCACTTAATTCTCTAGCCAGAAGATATCTGCTATATATGTGCAGATAAGAATAAGGCATGAAAGAATCGCTTAGTGATTATAGGATATGTAGTAACATGGAGAGATATTATTATACAACTGACCAATGATAGAAACTCTTCCATAAGCATTATAAATTCTAGACACATACCATAGCGTAAATACCAAGCTTTTTCAACTTTCTCCAACTGAACCCTACATCGTGTACACATATTAACCACATTCAAGTTTCATTTTTATATGTAACAACTCTACAGTATCAAGTTAGTTAATAATTTGTAGAAACGCAAATTACTTATTATTTATAATTACAAAATGTTTTTACAGGCAATAAATTACTGATCAGTAGTCATGTGAACATATAAAGTCACAAAATCATTAATAAATTTCATAAAATATGAAAAAAAAATATATATATATATATATATAAAATTACATGATCAAAGAAATTAAAATTAAAAAAAATAGTAAAAATAGTTTATCAAAATGTTTAAACAAATACAAAACGATTAGTTTATCACATGAGAATAATGAAATTTAAAAATTTTCTGAAGAAAATATTTTTTATTTTTTGTGTATTCTTCAAGTCACAATTTTGTTACTTATCATTGACTCAATAATGGTGATGTGACATGTCCAAGAAATATTGGTAGGCTATCATTCCATACAATTGATATAAAGAATGAATGATCAATACGAAATATTGGTACAGGTTTATGAGATCCAATAGCTGTGCATTTTACCATTGAAGTTGCTGTAGCAGCAGCTGCTACTGCACCTTTTTCATCTACCTAAAATATTCAATGAACAGAGGGATTAGACAAACGCGCATTGACAAACAATCAAATCTACTGTTCAAGAATTCATTGTATCTATTAATTCGAAATGCAAAATGTTGCTTCAAGACTGAGTTGCATCGGTACCTGAACTAGTGATAGGGAGTGAAGTAGTCGAGCGTGTTGATCACTTCACTTATCTGGGGAGTCTTATCAGTGCTGACAACCTGGTGACTGACGAAATCTCAGCTCGGATACAGAAGGCTCGATTGGCATTTGCCAACCTGCGTCACTTATGGCGTAGGCGTGATATCCGTTCGCTAAACAAAGGGCGAGTGTACTGCGCAGCAGTTCGTTCCGTTCTCTTATATGGCTGTGAAACATGGCCGTCAAGAGTAGAAGATGTTCGTAGGTTACTAGTATTCGATCATAGATGTTTAAGAAGCATTCCTCGTATATCGTGGGACAACCGAATAAGCAATGCTGTCGTTAGGAAACGGGTACTAGGTAAGGATGGAAGATCAATAGATGAAGTGGTGAAACTTCATCAGTTGAGGTGGTTGGGACATGTGTTACGCATGCCTAACCACCGACTGCCTCGACGAGCTATGTTTTGTGGTGTAGGAGTAGGTTGGAAGAAAGCTAGGGGCGGCCAGACAAAAACATGGCACAAATCCATGAAGTCACTGACAAGTGGACTGAATCATGTTGGTAGATGTAGACTACCTGGTTGGGGTCCGCGAGACGAAAGTCACCAGTGGTTAGAGACTTTGAACGATATGGCTCAAAATCGTTTTCAATGGCGCAAGTGCATCCATTCTTGGAGCTCTCTGAAATCCTAATCTTCTGGATTCGTCAGCACCTCTACCTTCGTCTTTCTTACCTTATCTCACTGAATTATACTTATTGAATAGTATCTTCGAACCCTATTCTTCTTCATTACCATTAATACCTCTACTATCTCTATTACTACTGGATTGGATTTGACATTTGCGTCTCTGTGTTAATGTGGTATGGCAACATGAACTTATGTACATACGTACGAAGTTCAACGTTGCAAATGACTGACTGTATCGATTAATTCGAAACTTGTAAATTCTTTGTTGATTCAATTACAACCTGTCATTTATTGTCTGCTTCATGTTGAACATTCTAGTAGAATTCCAATTCATTCACACAAAGTCAATAATTTATAAGACGCATAAATATATTCTACATGTTACTTTGTACAAATATTCATATTCATAAAAATATCCTTCAATGTGTTAGTCAAGGTCATTCTTATTTTATTTCGAAGATTATTGTCATTTCGATGTAATCTTCTTGTTGGTTATGTGATGATTGGTACTACGTACGATTCTGTCCATTTAAAAAAACATAAATGTCAGATATGCAACAACACATGGACATAAAGAAGGCCATTGTCAACCAAATCGTACATCTAAGCACAGGAAGAAGCATAAACGTACTCGACATGTGGTGAAATTAGCCGAGTCTAAATCACTTTCTCTGGTAGCTGCTTTTCAAACAGACTATGACGTTCGGAGAAAGTATGTGACTATTCAGATGAACGATGCATCAGCTCGCTTTCAAATTGACACAGCATCTGATATCACCTTAATGTCTAGAGAAACATATAACTTGCTGGGAAAACCGCCAATGAAGCCTTCTAAGAAAACAGCTAAAAGCACTTCAGGTGGTGTGTTATAACTGGTTGGTGAGATACAGTGTGAATTTTTCTTCAACGGAACAAAATGTACAGGAATATGCTATCTGACAGAACGATTAAACCTTGATCTTCTTGGTCTAGATATGCTAAAAAAACTGGGAATAATAGATTTACCCATTAACAGTGTCTGTAGCGTATCATGTTCATCAGTGGACACTCCTATATTTATAAAGAAAACAGGTGACAGGTTACAATATAAACGGAAGAGGAAGTCAGCCTCTGTTTTTCAGAATAGCCTTGATTGCTGTACCAATATATGAAAGCTCACCTACCGGTGAAAGCAGATGCCAAACCTATTTCACGTCCGAGACGCCCTACCATATGCTGTTCATGAGCCTCAACAAAACTTATCAATGGGGAAGCAGCCCAATCGAAGGGTTGTTTAAAGATATGGTTCCTACAAAGCAGGCGGCTCGTAAGAGTACGGGTGGCAAGGCACCCAAGAAGCAGTTGGACTCTAGCACGAATCTTCTCAAAGGGGAGGTGTTAGTGGGACATAGATGGAATTAAAGCATCACAACACTTCTGCATTTCATTATTGTAAACTTAAATGAAGTCAACACAAGTATACCTAAATTTTAACGAAAGAGTAATGGACAGATAATAGAACAAGGACTTAACACTTTTGTTTACAAATTTATGACATTTAACAGAAAACTAGTTTAGACAGAATATCAGTCAGTTGCAACGTAGAACTTCGTACGTATGTACATAAGTTCATGTTGCCATACCACATTAACACAGAGACGCAAATGTCAAATCCAATCCAGTAGTAATAGAGATAGTAGAGGTATTAATGGTAATGAAGAAGAATAGGGTTCGAAGATACTATTCAATAAGTATAATTCAGTGAGATAAGGTAAGAAAGACGAAGGTAGAGGTGCTGACGAATCCAGAAGATTAGGATTTCAGAGAGCTCCAAGAATGGATGCACTTGCGCCATTGAAAACGATTTTGAGCCATATCGTTCAAAGTCTCTAACCACTGGTGACTTTCGTCTCGCGGACCCCAACCAGGTAGTCTACATCTACCAACATGACTCAGTCCACTTGTCAGTGACTTCATGGATTTGTGCCATGTTTTTGTCTGGCCGCCCCTAGCTTTCTTCCAACCTACTCCTACATCACAAAACATAGTTCGACGAGCAATGTTTTGTGATGTATGAGAGGTAGAGCTAGTAGAAGTGTTTGGCAGTAATGTAGGCGATTAGGGTTCGAAGATATTATTCAACAGGTATAATTCAGTGAGATGAGTTTAGAAAGAAAATAGTAGAAGTGTGGACGAATTCAGAAGATTAGGATTTCACAGAACATAAAGAGTGGATGTACCTGCGCCATCATCTACAATTTTGAAATATGTCATTCAACGTTCAACTTAAAAGTTGTCGTAAAAAACCGCCAATTTAACATTGAATATTTTTTTCCAACAATGAATTTACTTATTTCAGAGAAACCATAGCGGAATAACAACGCATAATATGAAATATGGCACGTTGACAATCACTTGCCAATCCGACTGATGAAACACTAGAATCACTACATTTCGACCGTATTGTTTTGAAATTTTAAAAGACCTAAGGTTGTTTTGTTAATAGTCATAAAGAATTTCTGGTTCAGCCGACCGAAGCTGCTACTTTGACATGGTGGTCGAGCTTGCCTATCGTGATGACCCAACTGAGCTTTACTGGCTGGAACATATGTTCCTGAAGGTTCTACCATGCAAGGCAGGTCGATTGGAGAACGATGAGACTAAAAGCAGCTACCCAAGGTCTGAGAGCGAAGTCGTACTGCTGATTGCAGAGGGGTGTGACAGCAGTAAGGTGTTTCCCTCGGATAACCAGCATCTGCAGCGATGCTGCCTTCTCACAAGGAAGTAAGGGTTAGAAAAGGTCACACACCTCACCCTACATCACGGATTTCCGTCTCCGGCGGTAAGGGTGCAGACTAAGGGCTTTCAAGATCGGAGCTAACACTCAAAAAACCTTTCATAAAAAGGCCGTGCGTGACCGGCCTCAAGCAGTTGTCCCTTGGGCTCTGCGGTCAGGCTCCCAGGTCTCCAAGACCAACAATAATCTATCTTCCTTTTCAGGTCCCTCAAGAAACAACCTTCCACGGTGTGGGCAGCCGCGAAATGATAACCGCCCTCATACCCGTAACAGCACGAGAGTTCTGGTTCAAATATTGTGAGTGCAAAATGTCGCCCATGAAGTCGATGAAACAAGCGTTTATTATATACGGTTTATCATAAACCAATGAATATGACAAGATGTAAAAAGTCAGTATAACTTATTTAAATACATAAATGAAAAGGCAAGACTGATGCTTCAAGCTAACGTTGAAACATGACTTCATACAGATGATAAACACTGAGCTCGGCAAAATACACAGTATCATATATAATCATAATAAACAAAACTGAAATCAACTGTTGTTTTGTTCTATGGAGCGAGCTACTTATAAGTAGTGTATGACGTGAGTGTCAACGTAATGTCTGGCAGCAAAAGATGGGGGAAAATCAGGAAAGGAAGAGTTAGAACACAATGGAATTTGTATGAAACGCATGAATAGTGTGACAATGGATTGATGTTTCGGCAACAGGAACAGTCCAGTTCGATATGATGGACTGATATATTTTGCAAATTAACGATTTACGATATGGTTTTCCAATTTTACTGAGTAACTCTGTAATTTTCGTTAAATACAATTTGGTTGACCCACCTGTGTTCTCCTTCACTACAGTTCGAATAATTGCAATCAGGTCTAAAGTCAATCGATTTACTCAAAAAACTTAATGCCTTTGTTACGTTTTATCTGGAACATACAATTATTTATTCCTACATCAGTTATAGTTTATTTGAGTTGACATTTAGCACAATCTCAGTCAAGTTTAGGAGACTATGCAACTAAATAATATGAAGATTTATTAGTAATCGCCTAGACTGACAACATAACACATATTGTGTAATGTTTACAAACTGCATACAAAAATGAACAATTGCATTACGGTGTTGTGTAGACTGGCAAGTTAAATAGTTGAAAAGATGAATCGATCAATGTTAGGCTACCATTAGAAACCTGACAGCACTGGATGGCCGTTTCGTCCCTGTTCGTGACTCATCAGCAGTACGCACCCACGACTCCTGCACCCCACACGATCCGAAACCAGGACTTTCGGTCTTGTGCGAGAAAGCCTAACCTCTGGACCACTGAGCCGGTATCTGATGGTGTTAATGTCTAACTTGATCAATTCACAGAGTAGTGCAACGTAGAACTTTGTAGGTACGTACATCAATTCATGTTGCCATACCACATTAGCAGAGCCATGTAATTGTCAATTCAAATCCAATAGTAGTAGAGGTAATAAAGGTATAAGCAGTAGTCGGAAAGGTTAGGATTAAATGATATTATTCAAGAAGTAGAATATAGTGAAATAGACTTAAAAAGATAAAGTGATGAGGAATTAAAAAGTTTACCATTTGAGAGAACACAAAGAATGAATGCACTAGCGTCATTGTAAACGGTTTGGAGCCATGTAATTCAGGGTTTAAAACCTCTTACAAAGTCTTCGGTGGTAACTGTCTACACCCAAATCCTATGGGGTACAGGAGTCGTGAATGCGCACTGCTGATGAGTCCCATACCAGGACGAAACGACCGCCCAGTGCTTCCAGGTTTCTCATGGTGGTCTAACATTGATCGATTCATGGTTTCAAATGAACAATTGTTAACCATGATTCATTTAGGCTAATTTCATCCTAATCATCACTTTCACGACAGAAAATAAAAAGCACCTGATGAGGAGCAATCATCAAAGAGTAGCAAACATAAATGTAGTTGCGTACGCACTGTCTAACTACAATGAAATCCATATCGGAATTATTTGTAACAACAGTACTTTCTAAATATTGGAATAAAATGTTTTATGACAAAACGAAACATTTAAAAACAAAAAAAAACTGCATACTCATCACATTCACTCGATTGACTTACTTCTAAAATAGCTTTATGTAACACATCCGATATACACAGTCTATCAGAGTTAGAAATATTTGAAAAATCAGCTGATTTTGGACAGAATGCATCGTTTATTCCTAATTTCTGTAAATGCCTCTTCAATTTTAAAGCATTACCTTCAGTTAATTTAAATTTAGGCAAATACAATTGTAATTTGGTATTTTGAAAACTACTAGATAGTATTGAAGCTAGACCACCATGTTTATAAATCGATTTCAATAAATCTGGTAAACCATTATTTAAATTGGGAAGAATAATCAATAAAGTAAACCTGTATTTAGGAAAATAAGGAATAAGACTGTAATATCAAGACGTAATTAGATAAATAAAAAAATGATACAGTTTTCTATTTAACTATGAAAATATACATTACTTGTATTCAACATCTATGTTTGTTGATAGCTTTTCAATGTGAATGAGATTGTTAACTGTTTGATGAATTGTTATAGTGAAGTAGAACACAGGTGAGGGCAACCGGATTGTATTTAACGAAAATTACAGAGTTATTCAGTATAAAATAGGAAAACCATATCGTGAATTGTTAATTTACAAAATATCAGTTCATCATATGGAACTGGACTGTTCCTGTTGCCGAAACATCAATCCATTGTCACACTATTCATGCGTTTCATACAAATTCCATTGTGTTCTAACACTTCCTTTCTTGATTTTCCCCCATCTTCTGCTGCCAGACATTACGTTGACACTCACGTCATATACTACTTATAAGTAGCTCGCACTACATTGTAATAACAATGTTTTGGAAGTGTTTCATTTAACGACAGTCAACACACTCAACTACTTAATTTCATATCACTTGCATTGTTGATTGAGGTGATCAGAAAATTCTGAATTTTGTCAGCGTCACTAAACAGAACTATGTCATTCACACATTCTAAGTCAACAAGTGAATCCACTCCTCCTACAATGAGAGAAGGTGAATGTGTAATCTCTAAAAGCATGCCAATGACAAGCTCAAACACCAGTGAAGAAGGCAAACAACTGTGATGAACATCACTTGAAGAGATTAATTCAGAAAAAAGTTCAGTATCAGCTCTGAATCCATTATTAGTGTTCGAGCAGAAAGCTTACATAAGGTTACTGTACTTCTTTGATACACCTTCCAATGACAGACACTGCTACAGAACCTGAGGATCGACAGATTCAAACACCGCCTTCACGTCAAGGAATGCGATTTTTCTTGAACGTTAAAATGTGTGTATATTCTAAAACCAGCTGAAGTCCAGGTTTGCATCGAGTCTAGTTTTCGAGTTAAAAATTGAAGGATTATTAAAGCCGATATTTAGGACACTACGTTAGTTAAACTGATTTATCTTTGATTGTGACAATAAGAAGTTTGTCCTTTCTTATAGACTGGAGGAATAAGCGATTTACACCAGTCACATGGGATCATATCTAGTTTTCAGATTCTAGATTCTCAGCCAACCGTAATGATGTAACTTGACCATATTCCTTAGATATCTCAGCGGTCAAATTTTCATGTCCTGGCCATTTCAACTTCAGTAACAGCTGTGAGATTAACATCAATTTCCCATTCCCGTCGTTAGGAGATGGTGTGTAAAGTAGTTTGTGGTCCGAGGCTGAAATGATCAGGGAATCTATCAATAGAAACGCCATAAAAGTATCTCACTGGTTCCTCCCAAGTGAATATCTGTATTAGTGTTTACAGCCCTGAAAGACATACATAGCCATGCTTTTAACATATTTTAATATGTAAAACAGATGTCAAAAGTAGTCTACACGGAACCGTCCCTAGGTTTCAAGCGTTTTTGCACACATCAGTAAAGTGACCCTGTAGCCTCAACAGAACTGATCACTCAAGATCAATCAATCGTATAAAAACTACAATAAATTTGAAGCTTATTAATTTGAAATGTCTACAGACTGAAGAGGAGTAGCAAAGGCAGCACAGCGTTCCAGTTCTACAATCTACAATACTACTGTAAACAAGTATTGTATAACACTGAGCTAAGAAGTTTTGCTTACTTCGGGTCCTTAAATGGTATCTTCACAGCACGTGACTTCAAATCTGGTAAATTGACCAGGCTGTAATACGATTCGTTGTACATTAATTTCACATCCATTGTTGATCCGTCCAGTTTGTGAAACTCGCTAGTGTGTGTGTTGTAATCCGGGAAAGCTAAATTCCACATACCTAAATAACAAAGCTGGTTAAGATTTGTCAACTGATATAGCAGAGACACAAATATAAGGTGCATAAAATTTTAAAGAACTTTGGTCATTCAGAGTAAGTTGTATACATTCTTTTACCTTTGAAATATGTAATAGCTGTCACTACAGCAGACGTGTCTCTTGTCAAGGAATCAGGTGAAAGGAGTTCTTGAATTTTTCTTTTCGTTTGTTCACTAACCCAACGATTTATTTGCTGTCGAGAACCTTCTACGTCTGTTTCAAATGCCACCTACAAGCAAAAAAATACTGGTAACACTGGTAACATGAACTTACATGTTCTGTTTGAGCATCGTAGTACGTCAGCAGATTATTTTTGAACTGATCCTTGATAGTCAAATTTTGTGCAGCAAAAAGTCTATTACCAAGAATTATCTCAACACCTTCAGTAGGTTTCGAACAATCTTTTAGAAGTTGGCCTATCCCACAATGAACTTGGTCATATTCTAAACATTCAGATAATTGCATCGCGTTTATCATTTCAGCTTTTGTATTGTTTTCGCTGCCAGAAAGAACGATTCCAAGAGCAGTATAGATATTGAACGGGGAGAGAAACGTATTTTCCCAATGACCTAAACACACTCATGAGGATATGGTAACATAATGCACTTACCATGGCACTCATCTAATATTTGTTCATAGAATTTATCTGTAAAGTTCGAGAGAGATTTTAATGCATCCATCTTGTCAAAAATTGAAATGCGTCAAAATGACAACTATATAAACAATATAAAGAATCAGTAAAGTTGAATAAGCAACAGTGAAAATGAATGATATCGATTAAAATACGACAACAACTGTCATGAAAAGTTAATAATGCTAAGAATGAACCAGTGGCGATAACTAGCATCGCTGTATGTCTATGTTCAAACTTACCAATTATAAGGAAAGCGAACTTATCACCTTCATACAAAAGTAGAAATAAATGTTAAATATGAGACGAATAGGTGAGAATGAATTTAAAATATATGAACTGTTAAGGTATTATAGATTTCCGGCATTAACATCATGAGATACCCTGGCTCACTCTAGTTTATCGTAGCCTCGTTGATCTCCTCATTAAGGCTTCCTGTTGCATGAAAGTTTCTTATATCATATTCCCATTCGTCTGTTTATCTTCCTAGGCATATGCCTTTTCCATTAAAAAAGCAGATAAGATGAGTTAAATAACTTAATAACATGCACAAGTGCAAAGAACTGAAAATTCCTGAATACAATTAACCTTAAGATCAAGAAAATCACAACTAGAAGTACGTGTGTGTAACCTAAAAGTCGTAAAACACCATAATATTTGGTCTTAGGCTAGTTCACGTCTAGCTCGTAAATACCTCGTCTACTTGCTAACTCTTACTAGTAGCGATTATAACGACTTGTGAGTTAGCAGAACGAAATTAAAAGTGAGCGGAAACTAAGTAAGCGTTCGTAATGTATAAACCGGAAAACGAGATACCGCGCGTTTTAAATAGAGCGGAGATGTGAGGATCTAATATTCAATATCTATTTCAAAACCTTTATAAAAGCAAATATGAACCTATTGATTTCTTTGCGATTGATTCTTATTGTAAAAGTGCGCTTCAGTGTTGTCCTGTGAATGAGGGCCTGGCAAATCGACTGTGCTAATGCGACTCATTTCCCAGATCGTTGTCAGATTATATGTCCCGTGATTTCAATGAGTAAGAAAAATGTCTTGTGCTGATAAAAATATTTCAGAACGAATAAAGTAACCACGTAGTATACTCCATTAGTTTGTAGTAAAGATGTTGAGAGAATAACGGACTATAAGCAAGGGAAAAGAAGCAGAGATAATAAACGAGATAGATTAAGTTAATATTTTGTGGATATGACAATTTAAACATCAAGCAGGTCTCAAGAAATGCATCAGGCATAGCCAGTCTATGAGGAAGATGATAATCCGCATGCTCGTACGAGTTTTCAAGTCTGCTCTTAAAGCTGTGCACTCAAAGGACTGTGATCATCTCGTTTGACAGAACACTCCAAGATGCAACGACTCGTAATGAGTAAATGTGTTTGCGGGCCCTCTATCTCTCTCCTTGATGCTGACCTTTTCAAGGGGCGTGGTGATGCTGATTCCGTAAGATTAGTTGAGCAAAATATGTTGTCGAATGTTGTCAGATCATATATGATTCTTCTTTAACTTGAAGAGAATAATGCTGATTGCTAGAGTCTGTCTTCGTAAACCTTTATTTTTTAACCGTATCACAAATTTTGCTGCTCTGCACTCGATCAAAGAGTTTGCGCATATCCTAGAGAGCGTTGGCAAAAATTCTGTGGTGATAGCACGAATATGTGAGCGCATACACTGAAAGGTGCGTGAGCTTTGACTAAGTCACCCATTAAGTTAGCAACCGGCTTTCTAAGGTTCCGCAAGCTATCCCAAGCTATAGAAAGGCATTATGGAGAGGACTTCCTTTCAGGATGTAGATCGTTTTTGTCACGGCGGGCAGATTATTCATCTCGTGACGTTTTGCGGAAAGCACCTTATTGAGTCACGAGACAAGCCCTCACATGGAACCCTCAAGGCAAAAGAACACACTACGCCGAGAAATAGAGAAAGATATGAGAGGAATAAACAAACATTGGACAGAACTGGAAAGGGAAGCCCAGGACAGAGTTGGTTGGAGAAAACTGGTGGGCGGCCTTTGCTCCATTTTGGGTAAGAGGCGTAAGTAAGTAAGTAATTAAGACGCTTTCACTGTCGTAGCTGTAACCTTATTAGATTCAAGGTTGTTTGGAAACGCAGTCTAATCCTCTTAGCCTCCAATTAACTTCCAGATCCCTGCATCACCAGTATAAATCAATACGCCGAGCTACTTTTTTCAATCAGTTGATTAATGAGTCTAGCGGACCTAGTATAGTCCCCTGTGAAAGACTTGATGTCGAGACTCGCTATCGCTCGTACACTATTTATCATCATGTGAAGCATTTTGTGCAAAGGATAGTTGCTAAACAAAAGTTTGAGTGAGTCAGCAAAGCCTAATATTCCAATTTTCGAGTGGGTGAGGTACTGTATGGAAGGCGATTGTATTGCCGAAAATTTTCTCAACTTATTTTTGGGTCATAGCAGGTCATCCATCCGTTGGAAGCTATGAGATGATAAGATACGCACGACTTGACTTTCCAAAGCACATGTTGAGTTCCATGGAAAATTAAATTTCTATTTCTCATTAGTTTGTTCACCAGCCCTACCAGTACATTCGTAAGTATTGGTCTTAATAAGACTGTTTTAAAATGATGAATCCTTCTTATTTCTTCCTTCAAAGGTTGAAGAGAATGTTGCTCGTTGCTATCCAACTAAGAGTTTACCACGAACGTTTAGGTTGCTCTAGATTGTCGGCCCTACGGTACGGTTGAGGCATTTATTACAAGGGGTGAATTCCATTACTGTGTATAAAATCTGTGTAACAACCCAAATACATGTGTTTGTGAGGGCTGTTTTCACTGAATGAACACTGAAATTATGAAAGTAAATCTAAGTATTTTGCCGATTTTGATTCAATTGGCAATGAATTTTCGAAAATTTCCTTTGATCGTTTGTAATTGGTTTTTTATTCCTCAGTCCGCTTTTACTATGGGCGGAAAGCTTCAGTGGCAGCTACAGCTACCGCGACTACAAAGGTTCGACCCGACCGTAGCTGTAACCTTGACGTGATCGTCAGACTGGCCTGTCGTGATCACCCAGACGAGCTATTTCTGCTGGAACATTTGTTTCTGTAATAATAATGATGATAAATTTATTCTCAAATAACTACGTTACAAGAGTCACGCCAGTTCACAGGCTAGATCAAATTGTCACAAATGCTTCCACAATTACTGTGAAAGTTATAGCAGTTAAATTAAGTGTAAGAGTAAGTTTCCGAAAGCATGTATGCACCATGTAGGTTCTGCCGTTCCAGGCAGATCGACTGGAGAGCGATGGGGTAAAAGATGAGTTTTACGGAAAGCTTTCACACCTCACCAAATGTGATAGGCTACATGATGTATTGACAGCTGACAACTTCAATGCTGAAGGTAATACACCTGAGCAAATGTGACTGTCACAGATGATGCTGACCGTACTAAGATTACCGACCATTCCCAGCAAACACTAACATTTTGCGTAAGCAGTAACATATCTTCACTCGGAGACCCCCAAAGTCGTTTCAACTTTGAACCCAGATAGGTAACACTGCCATAAGTCGCGGAATGACGTGTTCGATGGGGGACTGTCGCTCGTTCTGTTACACAATTTTCGTTTCAAGTCATGCGCTAGTGTCAGCGTGACTTATGTGAGATATCCGTTTGCTAAACCAATGTCGACCTTACTTCGCAGCAGTTCCATCCGTTCTACTACAAAGATAGGAAACACTGCCGATAACAGTAGACGACATTCTTAGGTTAATAGTATTCAACTGAAGATGTCGTTGAAGCATTGTTCTCATATCATGCGACAACCAAGTTTGCTATGCTATATTCGGTAATCGAGTGCAAGCTAAGGATATAAGATCCTTAAAATAGGTATTGAAACCTCATCATTTGAGATGGTTGAGACATAGGTTTTGAATGCCCAACCACCAACTGCGTTGACAAACAACGTTTTCTGGTGTGGGTGTGGGTTGGAAGAAAGCATAGCGCAAATACATGAAGTCACTGGCAAGTGGACGTGGTGATGATGTCAGATTTAGGCTACCTGTTTCAAGTGCTTGTATTTTAGAGTGCTCATGGGAGAGTGTTCTTCACTGGCCACTGTGAAATAGTATCTCTAGATGTCAGTCCATTTTACACAGGTTTCCAGGCCCAGATCTTTCGTGACATTTGATCATTATATAAAAGAGAAATTCCGGTCATGGAAGTGACCCGGTTTTTATTGGATTGAAATTAATAAGTGTTCTCCAACGTCTTCCGCCTTCTTATTTCTAGACAAAGGGAGTCAAACGTTCGGTGTTGTCATTTGTATAGTGATTTGGCGTTACTCAAGAAGAAAATATTGGAGTTGTCGTTGTCTTTATCTTAAAATAGATCCTAAGTTTTCTCTGCAAAGATCGCTAGGACGTACATATACCTAGGTCTGCTCTGAAACTGTAGATTCTCATCGTTTTCCATTTACGTCTAGTAGAATTGTGTCTATTTAATGTGTTGCTTTGCTCATAAATGTTTTAATCGTAAATGTTCGTAGGAGACACTTACGTAATGATTTCAAGTCAGCTTCACTGGATAGATCTGTAAATAAAACACACTGAAATATGAAAAGTTTGAAAATAAATATGGTTTTGTTTTTCACGAATCTTTTTTGCAGCTATGCGTACATGAGAAATGTGAGAGAATGAAAAGCAATCAACACGATCGGTAAACAAAAGGAATTAAAAATTATGCCACCTGGTGTAAATATCAACATTACAATGTACTTTAATATCAATTAAGCGTCTGTTGGAATTAAAAACATACATAGAAATGATAAATAAACAAAGAATTATAGTGTGAATAGAATGAGTTGATAAGGACATTTGTCTTATTGTTTAGTTAATGATAAACAGGTTGTTGTGAGTGAAAAACAAGGTGAAAGTATATCAATTAGCACAACTGGTGATGAGAATAAAAATTCTACCACATAAACAAATGCACATGTTCATCTAAGAAATAATTATGAAAATAACAATGATAGGTGAAGGTCAATGTAAAAAAGCTAGAGATGGAAATTGTTTCATTTTTTAACAGAAATGGTACTTAGTTTCATTCAAATTCACACGCAGAAATGCTAACAATTGTGAAACGATTCTGTAACATCGGGTTATGAAGTAACTATGCGATATAAGTCAATCAAATGTTCGAAGATAAAACTCCTCTGTGGCTTTGTTTCTTCATAGTAGAAATAATACGCAATGATTTTTGATTTAGTTTGTTCAAGAGAATCGTTTCAACTTTGGATGCATTTTCTGCTTCCGTCATCGCATGAATCAAGGATATTTTGTAATTTCGTTATTTTACTCATGATACATTCGAAATTTTCTTTCAAGAATATTGATCAAGTTAGTTCAATATTGTATCACAGTTAGATATCAATATTTGGCGATGTTTATTTTGAATAGTACAAAATATATCACATTATTCTTCCAGTTATATAATTCAGTTATAAAATTTGTGAATAGCGTTCATGTCATTTTCGTTATCCCGATCTAAATCATCAATGAAAATTATCACCCCTGGAATAACAGCGTTTCGATTACATTGGTAAACATAATTGAATTAACAAGTGTACAGAGTAGCAATCGATAGAATCCAAATATAATTAGTCTTGCGTGCGATCTTATCAATGAAAGTTGAAAATAATTGAAAAGCCTGGGAGATTTTGAATTGGCCTACACTGACTTGATCGACTAATCGACATTAATAAAGCCTACTGCTTTGAAAAATTGAACTTCATGACTAACTTCGAAGGAGACTCAAAGGGATTGCTGGGACGACT